AAGATTTAAGGCATATCTTGATGAAATGGCGTCATCACAAAATATGTATAGTCGCCGACATTGTTAAAATGTATCGAATGGTAAAAGTAGCAGACAGTGATACAGATTTCCAGAGAATTGTCTGGAGATTTGATCCGTCGACTCCTATACAATGTTACAAATTGTTACGTTTAACATTCGGGACAGCATGTGCGCCATATCTAGCTGTCAAGGTATTGCACCGACTCGCTGAGTTAGAAGAGAAGAAGTATCCATTAGCGGCGAAAATAACAAAACAATGTTATTATATGGATGACTTGTTGGCAGGGTGTGACACGGTAGATGAGGCAATTAAAATTTATGAGGAAATGAATGAATTGATGAGGAGTGGGGGGTTTGAGTTACAAAAATGGAGTAGCAATAATTACGAGTTCCTAGAGCAGATTGGGAAAACTGAGTCGAGTGATAGTTCAACTGTTAAACTGAATGATATAATCAAAGTGTTAGGTTTGAGATGGAATAGGAAGAATGATAATTTTGAATACGTAGTAAACTTACCTGAATCTAAAAATATAGTCACTAAAAGACAAGTCTTATCCGAAGTAGCGAGGTTGTATGACCCTTTAGGTTGGATTGCGCCCGTTGTAGTGAAAGCTAAGATTTTTATTCAGAAACTATGGAAATCTGGTCTTGGATGGGATGAGAATTTGATGGATGAATTACTTAGTGAGTGGCTGAAATACAGGCAAGAGCTAATAGATTTTGAAAATCTTAAAATACCTAGGTGGATAAATTTCACACAAGAATGCAAGAGAGAGTTACACGTATTTTCAGATTCTTCAAAATCTGCTTTTGCGGCTGCAGTTTATATACGAGTGATTGATAGTTCTAATAGAGTGCATGTACATTTACTGTCCGCAAAGACTCGAGTAGCTCCAATCATCAAGGAGATTTCAATTCCCCGACTTGAACTAAGTGGTGCTACTTTAGCAGCTAAACTTATATGTGAAGTATCACAAGTTTTAGAAGTTCCAAGGGAACATATGTATGGGTGGACCGACTCTACAATAGTGTTAGCGTGGCTCAAGGGAGGCTCAAGTCGCTGGGCTACATTCGTTAGCAACAGAGTGTCCACGATATTAAATATTATGGATTACCATCAATGGGGTCATGTCTCATCAGAGACAAATCCTGCAGACTGTGCATCGCGTGGTCTGAAGCCCAGAGAATTGAGTGAGCATTCTTTATGGTGGAGAGGGCCACATTGGTTATCAGAACCTACAATACCCACAGAGAGTAAATTGATAGAAGACACACACGAAGAACTACGTATCCAATCTTTATCCGTTGTAGCTGAAGTTAACGAAGAATTTATTTGGGTAAAATATTCGTCTTTGAATAAACTTTTAAAAAATTGTGTCCTATTGTAGACGAATTTTAAACTATAAATTAAAGAAAGATAATAGACTTAAACTACATAAGTTTATCACACCAAATGAAATGAAGGAAAGTTTATTATCATGCATTAAACAAGTACAGAGGCGTGAATTTTCATTAGAAATTAAGCGGATAAAGACTGGAGAGTGTGTGCCTAAGAAGAGTAAATTAAGATCTCTTTGCCCCATTTTAGACCAAAATGGGATACTAAGAGTAAGTGGTCGAATAGCACAATCGGACGCGTGTTATGACATGAAGCATCCTATAATTATGCCTGGTAACCATCATCTTACTAAGGTTTTAGTTGCAGATGCTCATACAAAAACATTGCACGGTGGTCCACAGGTTATGTTAAATTATCTGAGATCCAAGTACTGGATATTACGTGGTAAGGAACACGTTAAAAAATATTTTAGAGAGTGCACTATTTGTTTGAGATATTCCACTAGGAAGACTACTCCTTTAATGGGTCTGCTACCAGAGGCAAGGTTGAAACCCAGTAAGCCCTTCAATTCTACTGGTGTAGATTACTGTGGTCCTGTTTCTATCAGATTTTCACCAGGTAGAGGTGCAAAATCTTATAAAGGTTATATTTGTATTTTCGTGTGTATGGTTACGCGAGCAGTTCATCTAGAAGCAGTAACGGACATGACTGCCAAAGGTTTCATTGCAGCGTTTAGACGTTTCACTGCTCGTCGAGGTCATTGTATAGATCTGTACAGTGACAATGGTACTAATTTTATTGGTGCTGATAAGCAAATGAGAGAAATGTTTAATAGTGCCCAATCTTCTCTGTCTGGAGAAGTAGCTGAGTTACTTTCTTTAGAAAGAACCACTTGGCATTATATCCCTCCCCACTCGCCTAACTTTGGTGGGCTGTGGGAATCTTCGGTACGTGGTACTAAGACTCATTTAAAAAAGGTAGTGGGAAATAGTACGCTTACCTACGAAGAAATGTCAACTGTCCTCGCTCAAGTAGAGGCGTGCTTAAATTCGCGACCAATTTCTTTGTTAAGCGATGACCCAAACGACCCTCTACCTCTGACACCAGGCCATTTCTTGGTAGGCGAACCATTAATTAATATTGCGGATGAGGATTACACTAATTGTAATGTTATTGGTTTGGAAAGATGGCGATTGACACAAAAAATTGTAACAGATTTTTGGAAGAGGTGGTATAAAGAGTATCTGGTTAATTTAAATCAAAGATTTAAATGGAACACTAAACGTGATGAACCAGAAATAGGCGATATTGTTGTGTTAAAAGAAGATAATATGCCACCAGCTAAATGGTTACTTGGTAAAATTATTAAAAAGTATCCTGGACCTGATAACATAACCCGAGTTGTATCTGTAAAATGTAAAACTGGAGAGTATAAGCGTCCAGTAAGCAAAATTTGTATTATAACTAAATGACCTCTTGTTAATAATTTTCTGTTATACATTTATTAAGTTGTTTCTTAATTCAGAGTTTACGTTATTTACCAATCTAATCAAATGAAGTGTAAAAAATGCTATGTATTACAATGTTATAGTGCTAATTATAAGATGAGTTCTACTAAATGTACTATTTACTTACACTTAAGTTCTGTTGAGATTGATGAATCTATAACCTACTTATAAAACCTGTTTGTTATCAATGTACTTTATAATGTTAAGAAAGTTAGAGGTTATGGGTTTTCATTTAATTTTTAGTGAAGTATAGGGTTTTTTGTTGATCTGTTTAGTTAAAGAACTATGTTCTTTGGCGGGCGGAATGTCGAAATAGTTTTGTTCAAAAATTATATAAAACTTTTTATTGTAAACCATAAAGACAGATGTCATATTTTTTACAGTCCACTGTGTTTTTTGTTTAATTGTTTTAGTAACAAATATATCATTTATAGTGTAAACGTAGTTTCAAATAAAAAATCCCAGTAAACATAAAATTAACTATTAAATAGGTGTAAGGTTCAACACACACATAACGTAACATCACGCCTTTTATCCTCAAACGGGTAGGCAGACGTGCAATGTAACACCCACTTTTCACTATTTATGTTATGCGTTCCATGTAATAGGGGATGAGCCTATTGCCATATACCGGACACAATCCCAAACTCCGTGCTACTACTAAGAAAAACCCAGTAACACTTTGCCCGACTCGGGAATCAAACCCGACACCCCTTGCCCGGCGCAATTGCGACCACTCGGCCAACGAGGCAGTCATCTATAAAAAAGAAAAGAAATTGACAGTCATAAATTAATATTGCATCCCTTCACATGGCTTCACACAAATAATGTCCAAAGGTATTAAAGGATCAAACCATTTTCTTTTCTCACATCCGTCCTCGACCAGCGTCAAGGATAATACACAGCGCAGTCCATTTAGCGAGTCTCCAAGTCTCAAGTAATGGGTACTCAAACAAACTCCATTGTTGCGTGTCTGTCTGTTTGTTTGTCTGTCCCTTCGATATTTACTTTTATGTTATTATTTTGATTGCACTGGACTTTTGAAGTTATTCTCTTTATTGATTCCGCGCTCGAATAACTACGACTTGTGAACAAATGAAAAAATGTTTTTGTTTTGTAAATAACTACAGGGGGTTGTTTTGTAGTATCGTTTTGAAAAAAGAAAGAGTTATAATATTGCCAAGGTCATTGAAATCCTATATTTCCTAAGGTTACAATAATACATTAGTATCGCAAAAAATCTCAAGGCCGTCTCTTTTCAGTAAGAGTCAAAAGCCTTACAGTTTCATCGGTGTCAAAACAGTTTGCTGATAAAATATTTAAATAACTTAAATGTAAAAAGATTGATAAATAAACAACGTAAAAACGCAGCCTGCGGTGAATGCAAATTATTTATTTGATTTACCGCAGAATTTAGTTTTTAAAATGAAAGGAAAATATAAAATGTTTCAGGCTGGTGTTTTTTCAGCGTCTAAGTGAAGCATGAAAGGGTTTAACTTTAGTTGAATAAGATCAACACTTGTCACGCACGATATTAAACTTAACATAACTTTTTGATATCAGAGACCGCCACTCGACTCTGGTACAAAATAATCTTTTAGTAAAAACGTTGTCTATATATAAAACTAGAGTGGTGACTACAACTATCTTAAACAAGATGTAAAACTTTTTAAATAACAAACAACATACAATGGAAAAAAAATCAAATTGAGCACTTAAATTCTTGTGAATGACATTAAAATTATTTACATGCACAAAAAATATTACTTTACTCACATAAGCAAACAAACAAATCGTCCACTTTATTGTCATAAATCCATTCAACTTGTATGTTTACACGAAAACAGACAATTTCAGTCTTTTAATCCGAATATGTCCGTCCACCCGTACAGTTGCATCGTATTCTAAATAAATAACACAATTATAGTGGCCAAGGTTAACAGTCTTGTTCACAATTAATTCAAACTCAGTTTCCCAACGAGCTAACTACGTCAATTAGCAGCCAGTAACATTCGGACGTTCCAGTAAAATTGCCAGTTTATACTTCACGTCTCGTTGGTAGGGCCAAACTTTTGACAACACAAAGATCCCTTTGATGCAAACCAAATAATGTGTGGTCGAGTGCGTCTAAACAAGGCTCCGAAACTAAAATCGATTTTTGAGTTTTTTTTTACTTCTGTCTGATTAGTACAAAAAAGTTTCATTCACTTGGAAATTAATATACGTAGAAGAGAATGCGCACGGAATTTGTTGATTTAGTTAGGTCTTATACGGTTTTTTCATTTTATGTCTGTAAAATTGTTAGGATTTGTAAAAATAACAGTAAACCGAGATTCTTAAATACATAAAACGTGGTTGGAAATTGAAATAATAAACATGGGATAATTAATTTTGTAGCTAAGTTTGTTTTAAAGAAGAGTAATGTTTTTTTTTAAAACAGCACTCCCCATAGGTAATGCAGTCTGTGATAAAAAATGTTTTGTGTACTGATTTTTTTAAACCGACTTCAAAAAAGGACGTTCTTAATTTGAACTGTAGTATGTATGTATGTGTGTGTGTGTGTGATTATCTCGCAACTGGCAAAACCGATTTTGATGTCGTTTTCAAAAAAGTGTTTATTACACTTAGTAGAAGCTTTTGTATATTAATTAACCCAATTTAAAGATGAGGGGGTTTGAAGTTGGTTTTTTTAAACGTTTTTTATAAAAGACTGCCTCGTTGGCCAAGTGGTCGCTATTGCGACTGCCGAGAAAGGGGTCTTGGGTTCGATTCCCGGATCGGGCAAAGTATTACTGGGCTTTTTCAAAACATCTCAGTAGTGTATAGTTGAATTGTGCCCGGTATATGGCAATAGGCTCACCCCTTATTACATGGAACTCATAACATAAAATAGTGAAAAGTGGGTGTTATATTGTACAGTGGCATTAACTGCCGTAATGTACACCTCTGCCTACCCCTTCGAGGATAAAAAGCGTGATGTTATGCTTATGTTATGTGTTCACAAAATAATTATTATTTTGTTAAGTCTAAAGCATTATAACATCTATAACATTATAAATCTCACGTTATATAAATCTTTAGATTCAAAATAAAAGCTATCTAGACTTCTCAAGGCTTTAATCACAAGCACCGCATAGCAGACTAGTTCCGACATAACGTATGTGATCGGAGTGTGCGTGGCGCGCGCCGGAAATTTTCAGCGCGACTGGAATGAGTGCTCGGGACGAACAACTATGCCGTTTGCAAGTTTAGTACACTCGTGGCTAACAGTGATATGAACAAAAAAGGAATGGGTTTTTATTAATAGCTTATATTTTAAGTCTTATATGACTGTTGATGAAGCGAAAGAAGTATGTAGGATTTGTAGTAATTTTCGTTCCCTAGTCTCTGCCTACCCCCATGGGAGACAGGCGTGAAGTTATGTTATGTTATGTTTTAAGTCCTCGGTTAGACAATAATTTTGTTTAAATATGTTAATCAGAGAGGTTGACGTGGCTGAATATCTTAAAACACAATATAAATTCGAAAGAGACGCAAAAACATTGAAATAAAGTAGGTAAAAGCTTTATACAATAATAATTTCGCATAGCAACTATTAAAGACGAACCACAATGTGACACGCAAATAAGATTTATCCACTCTTAATGTTATAACGTTTATTTTCCAAAAGATTTTGGGAACGATTTACTAAATAATTGTTTCAATTTAAATCTTGTCACGGCCGATGCTTAGACACGGCCGTGTAGTCTATTCCTTAGAACACAGCTGTCAGTGATATTGAGCGCTTCGTAATGTGATAAAAAATTGTCTGTGACGTAGGAGCATACTGTATCTATTAAGGTTTTGATTTATTCTATGTCGAACTAGACCTATTTAAGTGTATTGAAACCTATGGGGTTACAAAACTTGGGTTTGCTTCTACTCATGTTTGCAAAAATCTATCGTGAATGACTTACATTATCTTTCTGTAATCGAAGCTCAAGATTCAGTTATATTGCACACCCACAGTCACACACACACACACACACACTCATACAATGTTGTCCTTTTT